GGAGAGCAGATGCATAGAACAAGTCTTAATTCGAGTAACTTAGTCTAGTCCGGATTGCTCCCCACAATGGAGTCTTCAGAAAGTTCACAGAAAATGCATATTATGAAAAAACTATGCAAAGTCTGCATTTTCTGCATTTTTTCACCCAAATGAACTTTTAATTCCATTTACACAGACTTCTAAAACAAGATTTATTTATTTATTTGAAAGTCAGAGTTACAGAAAGAGAAGGAGAGACAGATCTTCCATCTGCTGGTTTACTCCCCAGATGGCCACAGTGGCCAGGAATGGGCCAGTCTGAAGCCAGGAGCGATGAGCTTCATCCTCCCACGTGTGTGGCAGAAGCCCAAGCCTTTGGGCCATCCTCTTCTGCTTTTCCCAGACCATTAGCAGGGAGCCAGATCAAAGTGAAGCAGCCAGGACATGAACACAGCACCCATATGGGATGCTGGCGTGGAAGATGGCAGCTTTACTTTCTACGCCACAATGCTGGTCCCTTCCACAAACTTATTGAAATATCCTTGCAAATAGTGAAGATCTATTAGTCTTTCAGATGCAGTTGCTCTTTCCACATGGATTTCTGTGTTGCTCCCCCTTGTCCCCTGGTTCCTTATTCCAAATTTTTTCCCATATGTTAGAAGACCCTTCTACTCTTGGGCTTTTGGCAGTTAGAATACTGGGGCTATTTTACCCTTCAGATTCTCTTTCTAGTAGCAGGATAGGATATATCCTGCTCTTTTAAAGGTGGGTTTGTGGGGCCAGCACTGTGGTGTAGCGGGTAAAACTGCCACCTGCAGTGCCAGCATCCTATATGGGCACCAGTTTGAGTCCCAGCTGCTCCATTTTCCATCCAGCTCTCTGCTATAGCTTGGGAAAGCAGTAGAAGATGGCCCAAGTCCTTGGGCCCCTGTACCAGCATGGAAGACCTGGAAGAAGCTCCTGGCTCCTGGCTTCGGATGGGTGCAGCTCCGGCCATTGCAGCCAATTGGAGAGTGAACCAGCAGATGGAAGACCTCTCTTTCTCTCTCTACCTCTCCTTCTCTCTATGTGTAACTCTGACGTTTAAATAAATAAATAAATCTTTTTTTTAAAAAAAGATGGGTTTGGCTATGTGATTTTGTTGGTCAATGAAATACAAGCGAACGTAAAGCACATTGCTTCTAGATGGAAGTTTTTCAATGGCTACAGGAAGACACTGCAACACTAGCAAGAAGATTTTATGATCCCCACTAGACTGTCCTTTAAAATTATTTATTTTTCGTTTATTTGAAACACAGTGAGAAAGAGACAGCTGGAGCGTGGCAGGCCAAAGTCAGGAGCTGGGAACTCAACCTCATCTCCCATGTGGGCAGTAGGGACCCAAGTACTTCAGCCATGATCTGCTGCCTTCCAGGGTACACATGAGCAGGCAGCTGGACTGGGAAGCATAGCTGGGACTCAAAACCAGGCATTCCAGGATGGGATGCTGGCCTTCCAAGCCATGTCTTAACATTAGGCCAAATGCCTGCCCCAGGGCAATCTTGAAAGCATGTGTCTGTCAAGCCTCCACTAACCTAAGGGCCTCTGTGACTGTAAGAGACCATGCCATGGAGTTTTTCTGAGCTCCCCAGATCCACCCTTGAGATCAAACACATTCTTTCTCCCAACTGATGGTAATATCGGTAGTTGACAATTCTCTGATGAGTCCATCTCTGGGGTGTTACCTCTGGCTAAAAAGAATCATCTTTCCCAAGCGCATCTTCCCTTCCCTAGGTGCAGTTCACATCCAGGAACAGGTTGATGTGTGGTTAAACAGTCCTGGCTCCCTGCCTCAATGCAGGACAATGCTGAAGGGCACCCAGCTCCAGCACTCCCTGCAGGATTGGCTGAAGCCCCATTTGCACTGGTGTTTATTCCCTCTGCCCATCTTGCCTCAGGCAGTTCCCTCTGAGGTAGATTGAAGGTGTTACCAATAACCTCTTGCAGGAAAATCTCAAGAGTTCCAGGGTCAGTTTCCTGATGAACCCTGCTGGTGCTAGACCCCCTGGTAACCATCAAGCATTGTGACATGTGGGAAATAAATTTTCGTTGCAATAAGCTGCTATTTGGGGGATGTTATTAGCAACTTAACCCATTCTGAGCAGTAGAGATGCCAGACCTCACCTGCCCTACCAACCCTTTGTTTTCATGTGAGCATAACTTGTATTGGACTGTCTTGTGTGGTGTTTAAATCATTGCCAAGTTCTAATTCTTCTTTGATATTCTTTCTCACTGTGAGTGGACAATGATGTCCCAACTAAGACATTACAAGGACAACAAAAAAAGGAAAAGGGCTGTGCATCTAGTTGTTTATTCCTAGCAAGTCAATGTCACGTGTCTTACATATTGTCTAAGACTTTTTCCTCTTGTCTATATAACTTATTTATAACACACACCCGTACTCAGTGTTTCTAAGGAAATTTTTATGGAAATAAAAATTCAATAATCAAGTATTTGATTCCCAATTTGGGAAAGAAAAACAGTATATCACCAATTAATTTGTGTACTGGCAACATACAGCCTATTTGTCTGAGTGCTAGATCTCCTTTAAAGTCAAATAATAGAACAATTCCAGTTTGTTAATTTAGGTCTTATAGGCAAAACAAAATGTAGTAATGAAGCCAATGCATCAAAGCATATGCTCTTCTTTTTTAAAAAAGGATTTTACTATACAGAAAAAATTTCGCTCTGCCTGAGGGTAAACAGTAGAAAAATATTTCAACTCAAAAGAGTCTTAGAATCCTGGGCTGGTATTACCACAACCCCTAATTATAGAAGATATTTAGTATGATAACAGAAACCAGCCTAAGGAATGTGAAGATTTATTTACATCAAGGTCGGATAAAGAGATAAAAGGGGACTTGAACAAGCAAGCAAAGAGTATGGCTTTAGGAGTGCATTTATGAATGTATCTTTAGAATTGCCCCTAGCCACAATGAAAGACCAGCAAAAGCAGCCTTCAGAATAACCCTCTGCCTACTGGGAGAAGGAAGGCTTCACCTCTTGAGATCGCCCTCCCACGCAAATTTTCCACCTCGCAGTTAAGAATTAAACCCAGACTTCCGATCATGGCGCCACGAACGTCACCTTCTCCCCTTTCCCCCAGCAAAATCCCACCCAAGTCGGCTGATCCCGCAGGGCGGCGGGAGGAACCCCCTCCCCTATCCTGGTTGCTTGGATACAAACCAAGACTTGCAAATGGAAAAAACGGACTAAACAGATCCTAGAAAGCTACGGTGGCAAAAGCACCGTCTCAATTTTGGGGGGTGTGAAGACCCGATCCCACCCTCTGCCGAGGGAGCAACTCCCTCCCGTCATTTCCCTTTCTCAAGCCCTAAAAGGCTCCTAAGGCCCCAACCTTTGTGAATAAAGGCCCTCGGAGGAGGAGTGGGAGCCGCGCCGCACACACAGACGTGCACGCACGGCAGGGCCGCTCGTGTTGTTTTAAAGGGGTTTTCTCTCTGGCTCCGCTTCCTTGCCAAGGTGCAGGATCCCCAGTCCGCTGAGAGGGGCTAAGGGTCCGCTGCTCGAGGCAGCAGGCCGCCCTTCAGAGCAAACATCAGTTTAAGGGTGGTCTTTCCAATTCCGGCTTTTGTTTGAGTCAGTGAGGGGAGCCCAAGGTCTCCGGTTGTGGGAACGACGGGTCCAACCGGACGCTTTGGGCCACGGAGAGGGAGAGGGGGAAGCTCCAGCCCCAGAAAACGGGGGTCGTTTCTGCCAAGCTTTCCTCCAGGGGGGGTCTTGGGGAGACGCCTCAGCTGGACTAAATCACGGGGCTCGCAAGAGTTTGCCAAACGCTGGGACAAAAGATGCGGCCGCCCTCTCCTAAACGTACACACAAATCCCAAGCCATCCACGTATGGACGCGATGTGTGTACGTGTGTGCGCGTGTGTGAGGGGCAAAGGCCACTGCGGCCCACCGGCTTGCCAGCCCCACCCTGCGCTCGGCGGCGGACGGCAGAGACGCGCCGCGCGAGGGCCTCCGAGTCCTCCGCCAGCCCCGGGCGCGGGGCGGGGCCGGGCGGGGCGGCGAGCGCGCACGCGCAGTGTGGGCTTCGTCGCGCCGCCGCCCGCGCTGCACCACAGGCCAGAGACAGACAGGGCCGGGAAGAGACGGAGACGGAGGCGGAGGCGGAGGCGAAGGCGGCGACGGCGGCGGCGGCGGCGGCGGCGGCGGAGGCGGGGCGACTCCGGTGACCGGGAGCGCCGCAGACTGGCAGCTGCGGCGACTCCCCCCTTTGTGTCTGGTCTGCGCGGAGCCGCTGGAAGTGCTTCCCGGGAGGGGTGCAACGGGTGTCTCGCCGGCCTCGCTGCTCACCCCCCACCCCGGCCACCTACATCCGCCCTCCCGCCGCCCCCCGCCCTCGGCCCGCGACGCCCGAGCGCCTCCCGGAGCCCAGAGCTGCGGGAGAACGAGGCGGCGGCGGCGGCGGCGGCGGTGGTGGCGGCGGCGGCGGCTTCCTCGGGGGGTTGTGATTCGCTCGCAGGAGCCATTGACGGGCGAAGACGAGGCTTTCATGGTGGAATTTACCTCAGGCAAGACCGAGCGGCCGGAATAAAAGAGCGAGAAGGAGAGGCGCGCACGCAGGAGGGCTGGAAGGGGCAGCCTCCCGCACCCTCCCCTCCGCCAGCCGTCTCGGGGCGCCCGGGCCCAGCCTGCCCACCCCTGCCCTGCCCTTCCCTCCCCCGCTCCCCGCCGCCCCTCGGCCGGGCCTGCCCGACCCTCGCACGATTGTTCCGTGAAGCCTGTGGGCTTGTCCATGGAGGCAGGCACCTTTTCCCATCCAGTGGAGGAAGAGGATTTGTTGTGGAGATCGGAGTGAAGGAGGCAGCGAAGCGAAACTTTACCGGGAACCCTGCCCTCCCGGAGCCGCGGGCGATGCGACTTGGGCCGCCGGGCGCCGCCGCCCGCCGCGCTTCGCCCTTCGCGGCCGTCGGGAACGCGTTCTGATCCGCGGCGCCCCCCTCGACTCCCCGCGCTGCACCCCGCGGCACCCTGGATATGTTTTCTCCCAGACCCGGCTATTTTTTTGATATCGTGAAACTACGAGGGAAATAACTGCGGGGGTTTCTTCTCGGCTCCCTGCGTCTGCCCCCCACCCCCACGGACATGCCTTCGGTTTGGGGAGCGCACGCACCCAGTCCTCGGCAAGTGAACCCCCCCAGCCGCCAGGGAGCGAAATGAAGGGAATTTCTGCCGCGGAATGAAAGCTCTGCCACTCCGTCCTCTCCCCTGCCATTTGTCCTTTCAGACTGCCTTGTAATAGGGGCAGGATAAGTCCGACGCGAGACCAGACGAGCCCCCCGGCCGTCTACACTTTCCCCGATTGTCTTCCTTTGCCCTCCTGCTGCTCGCCTGGCCCCGGGATGACTTCCTCGGTGCGGCGGCCCCGGCGGGTGCCCTGGCTGCTGGGGGCCGTCCTCCTGGTCAGCACCGCGGCCGGTGAGTAGCCCCCCTGGCGCGTCCCGGCCACTTCCCGTGCGGGCGGCGAGGGAGGGAGCCCGCAGAGGCCGAGGCCTGCGCTCGCCCTTCGCGGCGCGTCCCCTCGGGTCGCTGCGGGCGGGTGCTGCCCCCGGCTACCTGCGCGCCTTCCTCGCTCCTGCGGGGGAAATCGCCTTGGGGGTTTCGGTGTGGTTTACACCCCACTCCCATACTGCACTCCCCCCCCCACCCCGCCCTCCGTGGGGAAAAAAAAGGACATATTGGGTGTGGTATCTTGACATTTTTAGCTGTGAGGTAATGCAAGAATTAAAAATAATGTTTTAATCAGCAGTGAACGGTGTCTGTTATGAGATCTTTGGAAACAGAGCTTGTAGTTTTTTTTTTTTTTTCTTTTAACACAAAGGAGCGGATTTGGCTTACAGTAAAAGGAACATCAACTCAGATAACCCACTCTTGACCCTTAGTTTTGGAGGTAGATCACTTTTTGGGAATCCGTGTTACTTTCATTTTTCAAAAATGTTACCGAATGCATGGAGCCAATGTTAAGGACGCCAGAACTGAGGCTCTTGATAGATTGTATAACGCTGTTTATTATTATCACTAATATTATTTTGTTGCCAAGTATTTTAATAATCACATCCGTCTGGACACTCGTATTTTATATGCTTTTGGAATTATCGTTGGGCATAGAAGTATTTTGGTAACTTTTCTGTTAGTCATCTGGCAACTGTTGGCTTTCCTGTCATTGAGACAACTTTGACCTGACGCCGGACTTCTAGGAGATTTGACACTTAAAAGTTCTTTGACATTGTGCTTAATCGTGAAGGGAAGTGGTAGTCATCCTTTCCTCTGGATGTTATCTCACTAGTTCCCCAGGCACTTTAGACAAAACCTCATAATCCATTTGCAATTATTCTTTAAGGAGTCTTTGGTGATTTGTTTTTAGAAATTTTTGGGGCTGAATTGTCCATATAATTCTTAAATGTGGTTTAGAGTGGCCAAATGGATTATACATTTAAAAACAAGGAAAGGGCAAAATGATGGCTTCTCAATGCTTTTTTCTTTTTGTAAGTGTGTAATTTTCAGATTCAGTGAGTTTCTCATTGCTGTGTTAAACACAGAATTTACTTATTTAAATTTGAAAGTCTGAACTGGGAAAATACTAAAAAAAAAAAATCAGAGGTTTTCCTTTTGAGCTTTTGGTATTATTGTCTTGTTGATTAATACCTAGTATTTTAAGGATAAATATTTAATTGTGTTAAAGTAATTTGAACTTTTGAATTGAAATGTATTTTGAAACAGGTATTTTAGCATTAGTCATTGCAATTCCTTTTGGAACAAAAACATGTTTTTTCCTGGAAGTTTGTATTATATTAACTCTTAAAATTTTCTAGCCATAGCCATGTAGTTCCTGTAAAATATAACAAATAAAAAAAGGCCTTCCTTACGCTTAAGCAGTCATTTCTTAGCAGAAATCTCAGAATGTTTTTGTTCTTTGTTTTAGAATGTATACCTTTTTAGAATGTATATTTCCAATTATAATAAAATGACATGCTCATCATTTTGTGATCAGAACTGGTAAGAGGAAAAAAAACTAATGATTTTTGAATAAATGATTTTTGCTTGATAAGTAAAATATCCTTAGAATAATGTCTCTTAAAAGGGATAGATGAAAAAAATCATTGCTTAACAATGATTTTAATCTTGTTTATTTAGTATTATTTAGCACCAGATGACAAAATTTGTGAAGTTGTATTTCAGAGTTATAACAATAATAATAGCTGGTATTTATTTGGTGTAAGCTGTGCACCACCAATAGAATATTTGGATAGCTTTCCATATATTTTCTCACTTCATCATATGACAATTCTGGACTGTAGGTTCTTATTTAACGAAGAGGGAGGGTTAAGTATGGAGAACTTAAATAACCACAGGGTAAATTTTGGAGATAGGATTTTAGTCTGTACCCTTATCTACCACATTAATGGTGACAACAGCAGTAGAGGCAGCAGCAACTTCACTTGAACTGGGAACATGAGTTAGCAGATCAGCCTTTGAAAGAAGCAGGGATACTTAGTGGATAGTGGTACAGCACTTGTTATGCAAATATCATGGTTCTGAATGTGTAAAACTTTGCTTAATGTTGGAGTGGCTAGTGCAGTTTCGTTAGGTGCTAGGTGACTAGAGAGGACTTGTGTAGAATTACGATTCATAGATGGAGTGATATGACCAGACAGGTGCAAATTGTGCAACTGAACAAGAAAAACAGTACTGGAAGACTGACTGATTGCACATCCATCTTTGGAGTCAGGGATAAATCATGTCTTTTGAATCCCTCTTTCCAATTAACTCTATCTAGCCCTTGGACTCCTCCATTCTAAGGACAGTTGATATGCAAAATGAGATGTGCTTGCTTGATTTATACATGAACTCTTAATTTTAATAAAAGAGTACAACACAAATGTTATTTAAACTTCAGCTTCTGTAATGCATTTGAAATAATTCACTTGATGGGATTTCAGTTTTACATATATCTTTAGGAGCACATTCATTATCTATAAAGTGAGATTCATCTATTAGTGTTGTTGAGCAGTTAGTGAATGTTGTTGAATAACTAGAAGTTTAGTCATCTTCACTTTAGTATTAAAGTGTGGGCATTGCAACACAATTATCTGAGGTTCTTGATAAAATGCTTATGTTTGACTACGGTTGAGATGTACTGAATGGATCTTTCCTATATATGTATTTTTAATTTAAAACTTAGTTTCGGGGTGGCTTTACCCACTCTGCTTCCTGCAGTGCCAGCGTCCCATATCGGCACCAGTTCAAGACCCAGCTGCTCTATTTCCAATCCAGCTCTCTGCTATGGCCTGGGAAAGCAGTGAAAGATGGCCCAAGTCCTTGGGCCCCTGCACCCGCTGTGGGAGACCTGGAAGAAGCTCCTGGCTCCTGGCTTCAGATCAGCGCAGTTCTGGCCGTCTGGGGAGTGAACCAGTAGATGGAAGACCTCTCTCTCTGCATCTGCCCCTGCCTCTGCTTCTCTGTAACTCTGCCTTTCAAATAAATAAATCTTAAAAACAAAACAAAACAAAAAAACCTTGAGTCTCAGCAAGATTGAAAACCACTACTTTTTTAAAAAAGATTTATTTATTTATTCGAAAGGCAGACCACAGATAGAGGGAGAGACAGAGAGAGGCGTCTTCTATCCTCTGGTTCATCCCCAAATGGCTGCAGTGGCAGAGCTGGGCCATTCTGAAGCCAGGAGCCAGGAGCTTCTTTTGGGAGACCACATGGGTTCAGGGGCCCAACACTTGAGCCATCCCTCCATTGCTTTCGCAGGCCATCAGCAGGTAGCTGGATTGGGAGTAGAGCAACAGCTAGGACTCAAATTGGCCTCCATATGGGATGCTGGAGCCACAGGAAGAGGCTTAACCTACTATGCCACAGTAATGGCCCCGAAAACCATTACTGTGTATCATCAGTCCTAATTGGGTTCCTCGAATGTGGTGATTCAGTCACCTTTTGCTGCATTAGAAGTTGGCATCTGAGGACTGGTATTGTGGCATAGTAGGTAAAACCGCTGCCTTCTATGCCGGCGTCCCATATGGGTGCCTGTTCATGTCCCAGCTGCTCTATTTCTGATCCAGCTCTCTGCTGATGGTCTGGGAAAGGCAGTGGAAGGTGGCCCAAGTGTTTGGGCCCCTGTTATCCATGTGTGAGACAACCGATGAAGCTCCTGGTTCCTGGTTTTGGCCTGGCCCAGCTCTCTGGCCATTGTGGCCATCTGGGGAGTAAACCAGTGGTTGGAAGATCTTTGTCTCTCCCCCTCTCTCTGTAACTCTGACTTTCAGAATAAATAAACCTTAAAGGTTGGCAACCATAAAATTCTAGTAGCATGCAACAATAGCATTTGTTCAGCTCCATGTGTCTCCTTCGGAGCCCAGGCTGGAGGGAGGGTTAACATGTCTGGTAGAAGCTATGTCATGGCAGTGACAAAAGTACAAGAGAGCAAACCCAACCCACCAGCACATTTCTGTGCTCTGCACTTTCAATGTCCTATTAGCTGACCAAGTCATGTGGCCAAGCCCAAAGACCAGAGGTATGGTAGCATACTTTGCCATAATGAGGCTAATATAATATGTGGACATGTAATTCAATTGCACAGGAATGAAGACTTGAAATCCTCATTCTCCCTCCTAGGGTCAGGAAGATGGTCCAAGAGTGAGGTTCTGTTACCATTTGAATGGAGACCAAGCTCTTACTTAGGCCTTTGCGTCTGGTGTCTGTAAAAGCTATTCTGGCATGTGGGATGTGGCATTGGTGTGTGTATAAAACATGGAGAGAGAGAGAGAGAGGGAGAGAGAGAGAAAGAGAGAGAGAGAGATGCCTATTCCATACAGAACACCTTTCTTTCATTAAAGATAAGCTTTCAAGCAATTTTTATTCATTTATTTATTTGAAAGGCAGAGTTGTAGAGAGGGAGAGACAGAGAGATCTTCTATCTGCTGGTTCACTCCTTAAATGGCTGCAACAATCAGGGCTGGGCCAGGCTGAAGCCAGGAGCCAGGAGCCCCAAGCCCCTTCTGGTTTCCCAGGTGGATGCAGGGACCCAACCACTTGCTGCATCCTCTACTGCTTTCCCAAGCTTTTACCAGGGAGTTGTATCAGAAGCAGAACAGCTGGGACTCGGGCACATAGGATGCCAACATTGCAGGTGGCAGCTGAACCTGCTATGCTACAACGGTGGCCCCAAACAATTTTTTAATTATGCATTTTATTTCATTATTATTTGAAAGGGAAAGATTGAAAGCAATCTCCCAACTGCTGATTTACTCCCCAAATACCCACAATGTCCAAAGGTGGACCTGGAAACTTAATATGTGCCTCTCATGAGGGTGGCAGGGACCCAACTACTTGAGTCATTGCCTCTTGCCTCCCAGGGTGCATGTTAGCAGGAAGCTGGAGCCAGGACTTGAACCCACTCTGATAATTGGATATAG